ATATTATGTTATATTATATATATTATGTTTTATATATCATAAATAAAAAATATTATATAATACATAGTTAACATGATATAATTTCTTATATCTAATATTTGATATCTAATATCTAATATATATATATATGTCCAATATATACTTTCTAATGCATAATATGTAATGTATAATATAACATATGTTACATATAATACATAATAGATAATATATAATACATAATAACTATTTTATTCTATCTAATATCTAGTGTGAAGAGACATCGAAGCCTAGAGCATTTTGCTTGTGAGCTATGTAACCACTTGTTTGCAACCTTGAGAGGGCTTTGTCCATCAAGGAGGACTGAAGCTCAGGAGGACTTTGTCCACTGAGCGGAAGTCAGGAAGAAAGCTCATATCGGCGCATGGCTCAAGAACCTGGCTCAAGCCAAATTAGTGATCAGGCACTAGTCACCCGTTTACCTGCCATAATCAGTGCGTACAGCCTTGGTGCAAAGACCGCAACAGACTTCGTCTGGCGCAGAGAAAAGGTCGGGACCCAGTGAAGCTGCAAGGGTTACTGTTAGCAACGTTGGAGTCGCAAACACTCTACTTCAACTACAAGCTCATCTGAGGGGAGCGAGGTTATACGCTATATCGTGTACCAAACCCTCACGCAGGTTATCAGCCGTAGGCTCTGCCTACCAACGGCTTTGACCCTGTGACGCACACAACATATGGGGTATCTGCCTCGCCTCAGCTCCGGCGCTATCCGAAAATAGGGCCGAGGGGCAATCGACTCCATCGACCCTCCTTTGCACCTCTTGCGATCGGCGAATGGAGATCTGCCATTTTTCATGCGGGTGCTCAACCCCCTGGACTCCTCAGCTGCACGAAGCTGATGATGCCGCGGTCGAGGTCCAGCAATCCGGGCCTCTTCCAGAACATCCGATCCAAGATGTGTCGGCTTCCTCGTCGGATCCGATCGAAGATTTTTCTCCGGCGGTCGATGCATAGTTCTTTTTCGGGCGCTGGGAATGTCTCTTCTGATGTTTTCGTTCGGATGAATGTGGAGCGATAGCCAGCTTATCTGGTGCGCCCCTCCGGCGATCGGAGCATCCTTTCGGAATGATGAAGATCAGAGATGTTCGAGTTTTGATCTGTGGCCGACTCCCACGTTGGCGTCGCACAAAAAGGGCTTGCCCGAGAGACCATAGGGCTGTTCAGCGAGTCCTCGAGCGTGGAGATCTAAGAAACTGGTATATATATATATACATAAATACATTTATGTATGTGTATATACATATATATATATACATACACATTTCGTGTTAGCTTCATTAGTGATGTCGAGTTGGCGTCGAAGGCAAGAAATCCTTTGCTTCTTGTGCGATTCTTTGGCTGGGGCCCAACGAGATCTTACCGCTGACAAGCTCGCTGGTGATTTGTTCTTGTGCTTTCAGCTTTGCTTGTGATACGGGTTCAGGTGTTCCCTGCCTTTCCTCGTTCTTGGAATGGCAGCACCAAATCTTTTCATGATTGCAAGGCGGGCTTCCGCAAACCTCAGTCAAAAGCTTCTGACTTGTCAGCCGACAGGTTTGTGCCCACTTTGATAAGCTGGCTGTCAGCTGCACTCGGAAGGTGCGTTGCATTCAGCTTTCACTTGACATCTTAATGACCTATTCAAGAATTGTTAGCCTAGCTGCTGGGCTGTCGGCACGATGTCTGCAGCTGTCTCATAAGTCAAACCGACCAACAGCCGCAACAGCTGCAACATACAATGAATTGAAGAATAAAGCATGTTTGAAGTTTGAACAGTCAGTCTGTTAGAAGCTGAGAAGCGCGCACAGTAAGTTTCGAGAACATCTCATCTTAAATTTAGATGCCGACGCCTCCATCGATCCTGACTGGTGTGCTCATGCCTTTGGGGTCTCGCGGCTCCTCGCGAAATAAGGGGTGAAGGCTTTGCATGATGTGGGTAAAGTATACAAGTAGGCTGCAGTGTCGCACTTGTCAGTTTCCTGCCTTTCAAGTTCCCCGCTACTTTGGAGCAGCTCCCAAGACTTGCGAGTTTCGAAGACTCCAAGCCGGAGGCTGCTAGCTCTATAGGGTTGTCAAAATCAGCGTCACCTTCACCGTCTCGGTTCCGGGATTCAGGCTTTAGTTGGGATTTCGGGTTGGGATTTTCGGGTTTAGGGTTTTTCTGGTTTGGGTTGTATCGCTTTTGGCTTACTTGGTTTACAGTAGGGTTTTGGAGCTGGAAAGGGCTTTCGGTGTTTCCGGTTGAGGGACTGGGGTGCTTGCGCTTCGATGTCCAGGACGTTCGGCTTGAGGTCTCGGTGCCTTGGGTTTTGAAAGGGGGTGCAGTGGCTTGGTTTAGGCTTTCAGCGTTTTAACGGCGGACGAGGCTGTTTTCGCGATGGGGGCTGTTGGTTCAGTTTTTCGGGTTCGGGTTGCTGGTCTGGGACTGGGGCTGTTGGTTCAAGGTTTAGGGTTGAGGCAAAGCGCAGCCAAGGACAGCAGATAAGGCGACAATAGCGCGCTTCGTCTCCGTGCACACCGTGGAAGAGCTGAGCACTTTCACAAGTTGCACAAGGCAGCCACATGAACCTGGCTATGCCTCCCTAAAGCCAAGAAGCATGTCCTACACCATCCCTGAAGACCCGAGCTGCAGGTTTGCCATGGTCGCCACATGCCCTGGCGTACTGCTCCGCCCCCGGCAAGCCAGAGGGACGGTTGCGACTGCAGCCCAGAGCGATGCTGGAGAGACCAGGCAGGGAGCAAAATTCCAAATTCTCTGGCTCATTCCTTGAAAATAAGCTGATGCCGGATGCAAGCGACTGTTCCAGTGTAGCTGGCGTAAGTTGCATAGTGCATAGATGTTCATAGGCTTGATCGGCTGCAGCTCATGCCCGATCACACCAAGTCTGTTCGGATGCGCTATGCCGAAGCTTGAGACCTCGGAGCATGTCGACGTCGCTTTCCGAGACGAGTCAGGGCAGAGAACTCGCAGAGCTTCTGTCAAGATGTACCATCTGCAAGCACCGAACAACAAGCCGCACTTCACATCGTCCGCTGACCTTCTGGAGTCGCAGCATTTTGTCAAATGTGTGGCATGTGAAAGCCCTGCAAGGACGGAGCTACGCCCAGCCATCAGTAGCTCCGGGCGATCAAACCGCGTCATCGCATCGACAGTAGTAAGCCGCAATCGCTGCGTTCGATGATACACTTTCGACCTCGCAAGACTCGCAAGGGGAAGGCCCCAGAGCGGACGCGACATGCATGCTCTGGGATGTTCTGGAGTCTAGGAGGCCAGAGCAGGTCAGGGTACTCCGCTTGCTCTCGCATTCCCCACCCGGCCAGGCCAAGAGCCAAACGACGAGTGCTGGTGATAGGCGGCCTGGTCTCACTTGGCAGTTTGCTTGTTGGGTTTGTCTTCTTCTGCTGAAATACTGGCCAACAATGGTTTCCGCCGGTTTCCGCGATCCAGAAAGCTAGAGCGGCAATGGGCAGCTCCTGTTTGTGCAGTTGTTCGTAAAGTCGGACTAGTAGCAACTTCGCATGTTGGCCATGTCTCCAAGATGAGATTAGATGCAATGCATGGATCATGTATTGACAGCTGCAAGCAGACACGTACGTCGAGTTTTGCATCAGTCGCGTGTGGGCGCCAAGGCATTGCTGGCGCAAGTGGTTGCGGGAAGAGCACAGTGGCTCAAAAGCTGGCCCAGAACATGGGGTCTCCTTTTACCCCGATCAGCCTGGACAACTACTTGATGCCAAAGTGGATGCCCAAGGCAGAGGGCAAGCGATGCGTGTAGTGGTGACCGCATCGTTTTGGTGAGTTCAAGCCTTCTCGGCCTACACACTCAGTGTTGAAATCGCATAGAAAGGAAAGCATGTGTCTTGTTGGATGGAAGTTGCGTTGTGTAGATACATCCCGTATGCTGGTTACAATAGGCGTGGTACTCTTGCGAAGAGAGTCTCTGTGGTTGCAGACTTTGCTGAACGGTCTTTGCATGGCTCTCTGCTTGCAAGTTCTGCAGGGGAACTGGGAGACGCCCGCGGGCGTCGACTTCCAGACCTTGACGTCTGACGTCAAGAAGGCGGTCAATGTGCTTGCCCAGGCAGAAACAGCCGCGACCTCAACGAGTGTGTGTGTGTGTGTGTGTGCATGTGTGCATGCCATGGCAGCCCATTTCTATTTATCAGCCTTTAATTCATTGGACACCGTGCAATGAAGGGTTTGCTTGCCCAAACTTGAGGTCCCAGATCGGCTCCTGCTCGGTCCAAGCACCTCTCGAGCCGACGTCATCTGCAAGGGTCAGGGAGGCCGCCGGCTGAACTCAGAGCAGGTGGTTCTCTTCCTCGCGACTAGGCTCTGCTGCAGTCGGCGTCGATTTCTGGTTGAGACTTTCGGATACTGGTAGCTGGGAGTGTCGAGGTGACAGCCACAAAGGTGCCAACACAATGCTGACATGGTGCCCAAGGAAGGTTTTCTGCTGTTCTATCAGCAGAGCCTCGCCAAGCTCTTCCAGGCAAAAATCTGGATAGATGCATCGCTTGAGAAGCGTGTTTGCACCTAGAGCCATAGGAAACTATTGGCATGACTCCGTATGACTCCGTAGTCTACGATGGTACCACGATGAGTCTTTGTGCCATCTGAGGACATGCATGCAGAGGCGCTTCAAGCGTGCCAAGGGCAAGCGCAAGAAGGCCAATAACGCAGAGAAAGAGGCTTGGTTTCGCGACCAGGTTTGGCACCACTACGAACAGTATAAGGAGTGCCAGCTTGGGAATGCCTCTGATGCGCTCAAAGTAGACGGAGACCTGCCCAAAGACGAAGTTTACTCTGAATGTCTCCGCTTCTGCACTGAGAGATCGAGAAAGGCGGCTCTGAAGAAGCCAGCAGTGGTATTGCTACCCAAGCAGTCGTTGCCGGAGGCTGCCAAGAAGCCTTCCCCAAAGCCACTGCCGAAAAAGCGGCCACTGCAGCCTCGAGAGCCAGACTACCCCCCGAAGTCCCACCAGGGTCCCGACATGGTGTGTGATCAGCGTGATCCCGTCTGGAAGCCTTTGCCAAAGAAGCGCCCGCGACAGCGGGTGGAGCAAGGCTACAATGACTGGCACGACTGGCGCTAAAAGCTTGGTAGAGTGCATGTAGCATGTGCAGTTGCTTGACCGAACCCTTGGAATCAGACCTGTGCAGCTGTTCGATCACGGTCCCTGGAGCTGCAGGTTGCCTCGGGCATACGTCAGGTCCGCGCCGGCGGTGGTGCTCTTCCTGACCGGGCCCTGCCAGAAGCACAGCTGGCACAGGGCTCCTGTTAGGGTGACACGTGACCGGCGACCTGCCCCGTGGCTGTACCTTGACGACGTACCGTGCATTTCTGAGAATCGTGCCACTTCTAATCAATTGGTGATCCACGAGGTGTGGCAATCTACCTCCGTCCCAATGTGCAGTGGCGAAAGAGGGCCAGGTGAGCGCATGAAATTTATAGTCTGGTCTGTCGAGACTTCGTTTGGTGACCTTGCGAGGACTTCAGGAATCCTAAGCCTCTTTGGCTACAGCGATGTGGGACGCTGGGCACCCTCCTCAGCCATGTGGCCTTCGGCCGTGGCTTTGCTCCTAGTCGCCAGGAGCGGGCGCGGGAGAAGTTCGAGGAGGCCTGGCCACAAACCGCTGGAGCCCCAGTGGGCTCTTTGCCTACACGACCCTTGGGTGGATGCTCCAGCGCCGCAGGTCACTGCACTGGTCCTGATCTCAACATGTGCAGCAGAGAAGCCCAATGGAGGATCAAGCTGAAAGTTGAGTCTTTTATGAAAGGTATTCCTCTTGCATGCTCTTCTTCCTGCCATTTCCACCATGTCTTCTTTGTCTGTGGCGTGGGTCCCAGTTCACGGTCAGATGATCCACTGCTGCAAATTGTTGTGAAAGATGTCCGTTTATTCATCCCTGTTTTCCTCTTCACACATGAGAGGGGAGTGCGTGCACTTGCGCAGAGGGGCTTGTCCCCCCCCCCCCCCCCCCCCNNCCCCCCCCCCCCCCCTCACACCGCGCAGACCGCACAAACAAAGAGGCCTCTGTTTGAGGCTGAGGTTGGGGGCGTTAGTGAGTTAGTGCAGGCGCTGCCACAGCATCACCCTCTTAAGCCCGCCAACGCCAATCGCTTGCAACAGACGGCCCAGACAGACAATGACAGCCCGTTTTCCTTAAGCTGGGTAATATGTGCTTCAGGTGCTCAGTGCTCTTAGCCCAGCAGCTGAGCTGCATGGTGCCACCCTCACGCAACCTCAGATTCGGAAGGGAGGATCTGTGCATGACGTCCAAGGGTGGCAGGGCTGGGATCTTCTGAACCGAGTTGCTTGTGCTTCGTGGCAGCCTTGGCAATGCGCACCGATTTCACGGCAGAGAGCCCTACGGCCCTACACTTGCCATGCCCCGCTTCTTGAGGCTGGGACTTTACAGTCTTTTCTCGGCCAGGATCTGAGCTGTAAAGTCTGAGATGTGAGCGGTTGTCGTCTGCTCAGAGGTCGTCCTTCACCAGCTGCAGAGGGAGTATCCCGAGGTCCGTGTTTGGGAGATGTGTTGACGGGTGTCACGCGTCGCTGTTGCATCTGTGCATATGTGTGACTCTGTGTGCAATGGGCTTAGGGCTTAGGTGCATGTGATTGCTTGTGGACATTTACGCCCAGGCCAAGGGAGAACTCCACAATGTGTATGAACAATGTACCTGCCAAACCACTACAAGTGACTACATGCTGTTTTCCACATGACATCTGACCGTGAGCGAAAAGCCTCACGATTGAAGGTGGCACTTGCAAAACTGATGCCGACATGTAATAAACTGCTCTGATATTGCGAATTAGGCCTACTGCAATGCTACATGCTGGGCTGACTGCAGAAGGTACGGAGAACATGCTTTAAAGGTTGATATCTGAAGCATAGCGCTTGAGCACGTGCATCACGGGATACCAATATGCAAGTTTTGTCTGGGACTCAAGACGGCGAATGCTTGAATCGAAACGGGATTGAGAGAATGCTTCTCCTTGCAAAGTCCTGCATGTGAGAGTCTGATGGGCGAGCCGTAGTGTCAGAACGGTGCGGGGCATGTCTGCAGTGAGGACGAGCTGTCGACAGCGAGCGTCACCGTGCGGGCGATCGTGCGAGGAGTGCTCGTGATCCGCGTGGCATCACGAGCCGTGTGCTTTCTTGCAGCCTGGTTGTATGTGCTCCTCATCATCGACTTCGGAGCGGACCAGCTTTGGTTCTGGCGGGAAGGGCTTCAGCAAGGCACACCACTGGGAATCTTGGGTCCCATGGCTTGGCTACTGGATGCAGAGCGCTCGCACCTGTTTGCCAACGAGAAGTCCGTCATCTTCTGCATGAACCTGATAAGTGTGATCTCCCAGCAGCGATTGGTGGAAGTGTTGTCACGCCGTGAAGTGCTCTTGCGATTAATCGGTGCCGAGCGGGTGATGGCATCTACCATATGCCTCCTTTTGAAGGGCGTGGCCGTTGCATGCACCCCATCGAAGAGTGCAAACCCAATTGCTGAATTTCTGGTGCGTGTGGCTCCTCCACCAGCATGTTGCGTTGCCATCGTGGCCTTGCGAGACCATGCGTTGCCGCTGGGCATTGCAGTCGTAGTCGCGCCCCGCGTCACGGCCATGCTCGGCAGTTCCAGCTGCATGTTGGTGGGCTTGTGTTGTGGCGCCTACGCTGCACACGCCGTCCTCTCGGTGTGGTACTCCTACCGCGGCGACTTGGACTCTGCCGCCCTTCGTTTGGCAATGCTTGTCCCAGGAGGTGTTTCGAGCCAGGCAAAGGGACTTCTCCGCGGGGTCCTTGCGGGAGCGCACCGCCGCGCTGTTCAGTTGATGGCCATGGGCATCCTGCAGCGAGCTTTCCGCTGGCTGACACAGCGGTAAGTTTGGATTCAATCCTCCGGCGCTGCTCCACTATACTGTGGATGCTACGCAGCTTTGAATGCTCTGAAGGCACCTCACTCAAAGTTTGCAGTCCTTACGTGCTGCAGACTATTTCTGTAATAGGAGAGCTGTCCTTGCTTTTCCATCGCAATACCTCTGTGTGTGTACATAGTGTATACGTCTATGTAACTATGTTTAGATAGATATATAGACAGATCGACAGATGGATAGATGGGTAGATAGGTTGAAAGATGGATGGATAGATCGGTAGATAGATTACCATAGATAGGTAGATGGGTGGATCAATCGATAATTGTTGGATATATGTCATCCATGTAACACTCAGCCGTAGAACGACATTGAGCATCATCCTAAGGCTAGAACACGCTTGCGTTTTCGACCTCTATGGTTTCACTGTGCCAATGCTCGACATGACGAGGAATCGAGACTAGAATCGACACCGTAAACCCTAAACAGACCTTGAGCAGCTGGCACACCTGTACATAGTTTTACGGCATCCTCGAGCGCTGCCGTGCTCGAGACATGCTGGAAGCAGCTTGACGGCTGCTTTGGGTCTTCCTTTTGGCTTCGGCTGTCGGGATGATGTGATTCGGGTTAAAGGGAAGCAGTAGGCAAAGTAGCTAGGACACCGGCACCAGCTTAATCCTTCCATTGTTGCAGCCGAGTTTGGATCCGTCTCGGCGCAGCCTGACACCCGCTCATATACGTGCTCTCTTTATTGCATGGATCACCAGATGGCATGCCGCGCGGATGCTTTGCATTTTGTTCCTGGCTTCTGAGCGGCAAGATCAAGGTGAGGCTGTGCGGGTTCCGTGCAGATTACTTTACATTCTTTGTGAGGAAGTGTGGCACGGGATTCTAGTCTGCGCTGGATGCTCATGCAGTTCGATGTCAACCATGCGGAATGGGCATGGTTTAGGGTTGCCTCACAAGATACAGCGGACAGTGCAGTCTGGGGAAGCTGCAAGAAATTCAATACGACAATTTTGTCTGTTCGTGACATGCCTGTGTTCTGCCCTGGCATTTAATTTCCTGTGTGCAGACGTTGCATAGCTGTTGCAGCACATTAGAGCCCAGATGCACAAAAAGCAGGGTGATCTGACTGTCCAGCAGCATGGCAGCGACTATGACTCTGACTACGTTGTGTCCAGATGCAAAGATACGCATGGGACATTCACAGTTGCTTTGCCGCAGTGTTGTTGATGATTTTTGGACTGCGAACGGCACGTATGCTCAGCGTAGGGGTCGGGGATCTGAGCCAATTGGCACTCCCAGGCGCAGCATTGCAGTGCTTGTGTAGCCTTGTAGCAGATCTTGTGATGAGACGGTCGTTTTCACTTGAGAGTGGTTGCAGCACGATGTCACTAGCAGGATTTCAGACTGCAGCATTGCAGCTTCAACAATCAACAGTACAGACACAACATAGATTGCACCTTAGTGTAAATGAGTGCTAGATCGTACTGGACAACGGAGTCCGTCCAGCCAGCGAATGCATCAAGCAGATGAATAGCTGCAAGACCTAGATGCCGGGGCGTTCCATCCCGAAAATCCCCGAACAGATGTGCACGAGTCTGCATTGACCATCGCTCGACTCTCGCAGAGAGTCGTCGATACATCCTGCAACAATCAGCACCGCAATCGCCAGACTATTATCGCACTCCGCCGTCGGAAGTTGTGATGAGTGTTTTACCGAATATCTTCTCGGAGCGGAGCATTCCATCGCATCGAACCTGCAAAGGCAAAGGCCAGACACCAAAGAGATCCACAAGTGCAAAGGAACACGTCTTCAAACGGAGACCCGGGTCACCCTTGCAAGGACCGAAGTAGCTGTGCCTCCTGCAGGCCAGCGCCACAACTAGACACAAACTTGTCTGCATAGTAGCCATCCATACCTGTACGGTTTAGCAGGATCAGGCCAACGTGCATCAGCTGGTACAACTGGGGGCGCAGAAACGCAAAGTGGTTGCTCTTGCAAAGCGGCAGGACGGTTTCAAGGTCAACCCACGCCCCCATTCCCAGGACCATGGCGCTGGAGACAGCTTTCACCAGTGTCCCTACCTTAGTCTGCCAGCGCGCCAGTCCGGCGTGCACCAGCGAAGCACGCAAGCACGGCATCGTCTGCAGGTCCATGTGGCTCGCCATGACCTGGTGGCCTCTGCAAAAGCCCCGGGCCACAGCGTCGGGGACACAGAGACACTCATACGGCTACAGCATGCCGCAGGGAGCCCAACAACTAAATACCGAGTTTGCATTTCTGGGCTTGATCGAGGACTATGCGCTTGAGAGCGAATCTAGCGTTGGTAGGATGATAGCCAACTTCAAAGCTGGAGCAGGCCACCAAGGTCATAAAGCTACAGTCCTGTTCAGACCGAACCTGGCGACGCAAAGCGGTGTAAAGTAAACATAGTTTTTCTGCCAAGAGGTCCTGTGTAGGCAAGCAGATGCTTTGCGTGACCTTCTGACCTGGCGAACCTGGAGCATTTTGCTTGACCTGCAGGACAAAGCAGTACATCTTTTCCCTAAACTATTTCTGCTGCCAGCCCGGTTTGCAGTCAGCTTTCTAGTCAGCTTTCGGTGCACATCTGAAGTAGATTAGTGAGTAAGGTTGTGCTTTCCTGGCTCCAGGAAGCAGACTCTTGATAATAGTCGGTTTCAGGGCATGGACGAAGTTGAAGAGCTTGCTGTGCTGGTTCGCTGCTGCTGCTACTGCCACTACGACGACGACTCCTACTGGCACCATGCTTTTACGACTACTCTTGCTGTTGCAGCTACTGATGCTACTGCTACTGCTACCCTCTACTGCTGCTGCTACTGCTACTGCTACCGCCGCTGCTACTGCTGCTGCTGCTGCTGCTGCTGCCGCCCCTGCCCCTATCTGCCCCTGCCGCTGCCACTGCCAGTGCTACCGCTGCTGCTAATACTGCTACTACTGCTACTGCTACTGCTGCTGATGCTGCTACTACTACTTCTTCTTCTGGCATTAGTGCGAGTACTAGTGGATGTACTGGTACTGGTACTTGTACGAGCACCAGCACTAGTACTACGCCGGTGCTAGTACTAGTATGAGCACTAGTACAATTCTACTACTGCCGCCATCGCGATTACTACCACCTCTTACAATACATGGTCCTGCAGAACTGGAAACAGCAAGAACCGATGAGAGCAATCGCTACTGGCTCGCGTAGAAGCTGCCAAGGCCAGCGCAAGCCAGAAGCCGCTGGCCAGCCTCGGCAGTTCGTCGAGCAATCTCCAGGCACGAATCCTTCGTACCAGGACCCTCCAAGTACCCTCAAATAGGGGTATATGGTCCCAAATGAAGGGTATTTACGGTCTAATAAGGGGTAGATGGAGGGTCTAGGTACGCTTGTCTTGAACAAATACTCCAAGATTCCGACAGTAGCATGTTGTGCGTGCTGCTGTGCTTGGACAACGTCGCGCAGACCGCTGCAGCCCTTGCTGCCGGCGTGGCAGCATTTGCTGGAGGGCGTCAGAGGACTGATCTTGCCCTCAGCTACCGCTTCCACCTTTCTATTTCCCCATACAAAGTGAACGAGATCATTCCTCTGCACTTCGGGGGACTCTCCCTCAGAATTCCTTTGCCAGGCGTGGTGTTGACCTATTGACCCTTGCTCCAAGCTTTACGTCTGTGAGCATTTGGGATTTGCGCCTGTAGTTTCTCAATCACGAAAGGTCTCCCAGAGCGGGAAGCTTCGTTGAATACCTCACAAGGTGAGCTTGGGATTCTACGGGGCGGGGGGGCTGTGTGGGGGATGGGGGAGTACAGGAGATTCACACACATGGTCTTTCGAGCTATCTCCCACCTGGGGCTGGCTGGGACCTTGTTCCTTCAGGGGCCCTTTTTGGCCAAGGTGTCGAGACTTGCGTTGGCGTCTCTGGCCAGGGCTCGGCACGAGCACCGGGTTTCTTCTGATGCTGCTGATGCTGGCCCCAGGGTGCTCCTGCTTCAAGATCCTTACGTATACGCAGCGTCTGTCGTCTGTCTGTGATTTGTATGTCATGCATGCTTGTCTCTCTGTTTCAGCAACTCGATCCACTATAGCTCAAGTGCATCGAGTAGACACTTCTGTCTATCCTTCGAAGATTTTGGGCCCGTGCAACGGTGTTCAGGGTTCCGACACCCGCTCCAAAGCGCAGCATGCGCATGCGCGTTCTGTTCCCTTGGCTGCTCCCACGGGTTTGGGTGGGGCCGACTGTAAACGCACAGCCTGCGAGTGTGGCAGATCCCGAAAGACACTAGTGAAGCATGGGAAGTCGCTGTCATATCGTCTTGTCCATACCGTAGCACAACATTGGCACGATTTACCGCCGGAGCTGCTCAAGAACGTCGAAGCTGGGGCTCACATGGTAGTTGTTGAACCTGCCTTCCTTGAACCTGGCCGCCAGGCAACCCTACCAAGGCATCACCACAGGAGTCACTGCAGAGTTTTTCTCAGTGAGAGGAAACCCACATGTTGGCCAACGATCCGGGCACCCTGCTGGACCACCAGTTGCAAGTTGCAGCTAGTGGATTCTGTTCGCGATGTCGATGATGAAGGGTTCGCGGTCCTTATGAAGCAATCACGGGACGACAGCATTTCTGGCTTTGGCAGGTCTCGCGTCCCGCGTCTCCCTACTTGCCCAAAAAATGCCAAAGCTAGATATTTAGCTTTCGCATCCTCGAGTCCTAAGGACAGCAGCATCCCTTGCGGCCACCCTCGCGGATCTTCGAAGAGCACCGCCCTGAAAGGTGTGAGGCGTACCGCGGGAGGACCGAAGAGCAGGACCCCAGCACTCGGGGCCGAGAAACCGGGAGAAGAGGCCGAGCCCCTTTGGCCGGTCCACAACGAAGGTCTCGCCCAGTGCGGGCAGAACCGCCGTTTCCTCGCAGCCACGTCCGGTAGCGCCGCGACTGGTCTCGGAACTCCGGGTCAGCGCCAACAGTGGGATTGCCAGCACCAGACCTGCTTCAAGCAGCGCGGGTTACACCGCCGCCCCCAGGAAGGGTGGACGCAGCAGAGTAATAAAATTCGCCCTGTCTGAACCGACGTTCGCACGCTTTGTGACTCCATTTTCCCCTTTCTCGTCGCTGGTTGATGACTTGGGCTTGGGAGGTGTGGAAGGGTCACTTGCAAAGGGCATGGCAACTGAAACAGCCCAAGCTCTAGTTTCTGAAGCACCCAAATTGAAGGCCTGAACCGAATCGCTACAACACCTTCACTAATAAGCGAAAGCTGTCAACGAAGCCTGTGAAACGATCCTACCAAACTTGTCGGACATTCGGCCCCGCCCTCCGAGATTGGGGGTCTGGGTTGTTGCCATCTCCCAAAACTCCCGTATGTCTTTCGCTGTCCATGCCCCGTGCAGGGTTTCTGGCGGTAATCCCAGCCCCCCCGTCTCGCCACGAGATTGGGGTCATGTGTTGTTGCCATCTTCCGCAACTCCCGTACCATGCCCCGCACAGGGTTCTTGCTCCCAGACCCCCCTCTCGCACCGAGATTGGGGAATGGCTTGTTGGACTTCTTGCTGTAAGGGTCTGGGTTGTTGCCATCTTCCGAAACTTCCGCAGGTTTATCGCTTTCAATACCCCATTATAGGGTTCTTGCTGTAATCCCAGACCCCCAGTTTCGCCGAGATTGGGGTCTGGTGCCACCTCCCGCAACTCCTTAGGTGTAGGTGCTTCGCCTTCCATTCCCCATGCGGCCAGGGTCGTTGTCCGCTGCAGGGCTTTGCAGTATTCCAAGACCCTTTGCCTCGCTCCGAGATCGGGGTCTGGGTTGTTGCCATCTTCCGCAACTTCCATACGCCTTTTACCTTCCACCCCCTTCCCATTCCCCATGCAGGGTTCTTGCGATTGCATGTTGATTATCACCGAAAAAGATGGATCTGACCTGTGCCTCTGCCTGTTTGCATTGCGTGTGAACGCTGCTGAAGCAATGGCATGGCCTCAAGCAAGTCCTGCATGTCGCGCTCTAGGAGAGCCCCTGCATTTCGACGATCTACCGTTGGAAGACGGGCTTTTTTTGATGCTTTAGGCTCAGTTGATGTATGCGTGCATTCGCAGCAACTTGCCACTTACCTTGCAAGATGCACCAGTTTCCTGCTGAGTTCGCATCGCAGCCTTCCAAGAAGACCGTAATCATCACCGGCGCTTCCTCAGGCCTGTATCCCCTGAAGGCATGTTGGCTGAGACGTGTCGTGACGTGAGCAGCCTCAGGGCTGGGACTCGCCACCGCGAAAGAGCTTGTCAAGAGCGGAGAGTGGCCGCCTCCTCGAAGAAGAAAAGCTGTTGCTTGCATGTGGAAGCCAATTCACCGCAACAGGCGAGTCATCATGGCTTGCCGTGACTACGTCAAGGCAGGTGGAGCTTGCGAGTGCTCGCGAAGGGGTTAGGGTGACTTGCTTATTATAACTTCCTGTGCATGCTCGTGCCTGCTTGTCTGGACCTATTTACTGACCAACACTAACCGTAACCATTTCCGCAAAGCTACAGGCAGAGCGTGTTGCCAAAGAGAACGACTTTCCGGAGGATTGCGAAGAACAGTGCTCCGGACCTGTCACGATGCTGTGCCTTTTCAACAAGTGTCAGGACAGCTACATTGTACAGCACCTTGACCTTGCGGCGAACAACAGCGCTTGCCCGGCACAGTTGCATCTGGGGGTTTCTGGGCATCATTTCTCGAGTCAGTGACAGCCGTTGGAGGTCCGCCAGTTTGTCCGCACATTCCGAACTTTGAATATCCCGCAAAGCTCTCGGGCGCAGTACGAGAGCTTTGCGTGAGAACAGTGTCAATCTCTCAGGCTTGATGCGCTGGTCTGCAACGCTGCAATCTACTTCCCAAATGCTCACAAAGAGGCAAAACGCAGCGCATTTCCTGTGGTGCTTGGAAATCCTTGTCTGCGGTCAGGGAGCCTTCTTGCCGGGACTCTTCCCAGGCCCGCGCTAGCCGGCCGTCTAGAAGTCTGTTGAGACCGCTTGGCCAGGGGGTGGTCCAAGATGGTCGGCAGACGGCCACGAGTTGAGCTTTGCATCAAACTACTTGGGCAGACGGCTCATGGGGATTGCTTGCGCACGATTGAACAACATTGGAATGACCAGCATGGCCGTGAAAAGGCCACTTCCTCCTGTGCAATCTCTTGCTTGAAGGCAGGGTGCCCATGCGACCTGACATGGCGATCTGAATCAATTACTACAGTCTCGTCGTGCCTGGAGACCTGCAAAAGAGCACGATGAAGCCGGCGCGTTGCATCATACTGGGGACTGTGACTGCCAGCATCAACGACAAGGAGGCAGGATTCCAAAGCCTCCGGACCCCAGCCAGCCCATACTGTCTCTAGGTCGGTGGCATGATCCCACCTGTCGCGGATCTAGGTGGGCTTGAAGGCGCGGTCTTGCAGAAATCTGGCATCCCAGCAAGAACAACCATAGGTTATGGTTGGTTTGGCCAGGAAGGGTTTGGGGTCCGTGGTTTAGATCGGCCGTGTGCGATGCTGTTTGACTCCACCTGGTGAGGCCTAGAGGCTGGAATGAAGCAGCCGGTGCACCTCACGTGTTTGATGTCTCTGCGGCCGAGGAAGAGCAGGGCAGAGCATTAGTGGCTTCGGCTGGCCCAGGTCACAATGATTGACGGCGGACGTTTCAATGGAGCCAAGGCGTACAAGGACAGCAAGGCGGCTGGAAACAATAGATGTCGAGAAGAACAGAGCAACAACACCCCCCCATGCAGGTTTGTGACGTCATGCTGATGAGGGAGCTCCACAAGAGGTTTCACGACAAGACAGGTGTGTGCTTTGCCTCTCTCTACCCAGGCAGGCTCCTCCTGTCTTTCTTTGAGCCATAAGCAGAATTTTTGGGGGCAGACGTTTGCTGCAGAATTGGATGCAGGTTGCATCGCTGAGACCAATCTCTTCCGAGAGCACTATCCGGTTTTCAGGTCGGTAGAGAGAGACCTTGACTCTTGCCGAGCGTTGCCACCAGATCTTCCCATTTTTCGAAGTATGTGCACGTCTGTTGTTCCTGCTGTTTCCCCGGAGGTTTTTGTTTCCCATCCTGCAGAAGGAGGTGACCAACGCGTGCCCTTTGGAAGTAGGTTCACCCAGAAGTGTTTGCTTCTGTCCTGTGTCCAGGTACGTCAGCGAAGAGGAAGCAGGAAGAAGGTTGGCGAAGTGTGTTGCCGATCCTGCCTACGCTCAGTCAGGCCTGCTCCGCGCCCAAGTCCCTTGCACATGCGTACTTCATGCCAGGGGGGGCCTACTAGTACTCGTAGGTCGTAGGGCCCGGCTCGTAGGGCGGTCTGCTAGTGGGGAGATCTTGGAGCCGGGGGTCACGGACCCCGGTTGAACAAGATTCGCGGTTGGCCGAAGAAGTCTTTTGAGGCCATCCTTTGAACAGACGGCCTGGCATCGCTTGACTAATGTTTAAGCAGCTCCGATCAGCTTGCTTCCTTCCCATTATGAGATGCTAATCTTCGTTCCGTTGCAGGTGTCTACTTCAGCTGGGGTGGCGAGCCAACATCTCAAGCTGAGAAAAGATACGCTTGAATCGCTTTCGTGCTTGCTTGTCTGCTGGCACTCTCACGTTTGCCCGGTGCTGTGGGCCATCTATTCGCAGAATGTGCTTCAGGTCTGGAACCGGTGGAGCAGGAGGAACCGATGCGGTGGAGAATGTGGGCGCCAGCAACGACAAGTTCCTGCAGTGACCACTAAGTCACTAAGCATGACGACTGTGCAGTGTGGGAAGGTGTTGAACAAGCTTGCCTGAAGGTACGGCAGTTTCCGGACTCTGAAGGAGAACGAAATTGGTGGACAAGCTGCCGATGAAGAGAGGTGTAGGAGGCTGTCACCTTCTCCATCTGCTTTGTTCGATATGAGCCGTGAGGGTTGGAGACAGGACACTCATGACACGTTGGGCAGTACAGAGCACCGTGGGACTGCTGGCGCCAGGCTGTGGAGCCTCAGCGAGAAACTAGTTGGTCAGACTTTCTCGTAAGCTGCGCGGGCCCCGGGCCCCGACTGTAGGAAGTGATTTGTTGGAAGTTGGCAACACCGCTGCAAGTCGTACTGTCGTACTGTCGTACTGTGGCTCAAGAGATGAAGGTCTTCGCTGTGGTCCCCGTAAGTCGCCCCTCCGCGAGCCGAAGTGGCTCGCCGGGGGTGCCATGGATTGAACCCTCCCGGTGTGATGTTCCCAGATTGCGCTGGCCGTTCCTGCCTGCCCTCTCGTCACTGACTGCATGTACTGCGCTGGCAGTGAGCAAAGGTGCCTTGTCCAGATCGGGAAGAAGGCCCCAGGCTCAAGCCAGGCCACGGAAACGCATGGCGCTCGTTGAAGCATTCCGTGGCAAGACCTCGCGGACAGGAGCCAGGCGTGGACTACACTCTGCCGGGCCGGTACTAAGCACGGGAACGCTCCCGGTAGGTGACGGCTTCGACCTGTACTACGAGGAGCATGGCAGCCCCGATGCAATACCAGTGGTGTTTTTGCATGGGGGCCCTGGTGCTGGCTGCTCTCGACGCATGGCACAGCTGTTCGACCCGGAGAAGTATCGGGTGATCCTCTTCGACCAGCGAGGTTGTGGCAAGAGTTCACGCAAGGACTCGGCCAATGCAGAGGATCAGCTTGAGGGCAACACAACTTGGCATCTAGTCGAGGATCTCGAGGTCCTAAGGGCTCATTTGAAGATCGACCGCTGGGTGGTGTGTGGAGGTTCTTGGGGAACTTGCCTCGCCCTCGCGTATGCCTCCAAACATCCTGCCTGTGTCCTTGGCATGGTACTGCGTGCTGCTCCTCGCCGATGAAGTTCAGGGAATGCCACAATCACGCATGAAATTGTTGCATGCGATGTAGCGTTCGTTTCGGAAATCTGAGGTTTTCCTCTTCCGCAACGAGGAGCTTGAGTACTTCTGCGGTCCGAAAGGCGGTGCGAGATCTTTGGCACGGGGTGCTTGGGACAGTTTTGCTGGATGGCTTCCATGGGCAGAGACATGCTCTGCCCGTGCCATTGCGGCCGCATTTCGTCGAGCTGCCCTGGGCGAGGATGCGCATCTTGATTGAACTTGGTAGCAGGTTGTTAGGCCTGTTAGGCCTCATGAATGAAACTGGTAAAGGGGCGGATCAACTGCTGTCCGCAAGGCTTCAAGATTCTGACATACCTTGTCACTAGTCCAGAGTTTGGACACTAGTCCAGAGTTTGGAATTTGTTGTGCGGCCTCGTAACTTTCGCTTGTGCAAAGATTTAGTATTGCTGATTTGTGATGGTTATGCCTCGTTTATGCATCGTATTCGGTGGCTTGCATTGAAACATGTTGGGCTTTGTACTATCTCTAAAAACCTGCGCCCCTGCTTGTGCATGGGGTCTGGTGGAAGAGCAAGAATCTCAGAATGATCGCTTATCGTTTCAAGGACTCGGAAGCTGCGTGGGGGCATGGTAGGAGGGAGTCAGGCAAGAGGTGAGTCGCTGTTCGACTTGTTTCGCTTTGGGCAACCCCTAGCAAGAGCAGCTGTGCAAGCATGTGCGAGCAATCTGAGGTCCGTCTCACCGACCGATGCCTTGTCAAAGTGGCGAGCTTGGGAGAACCATCTGTTTGCACAGCGGGCCAAGAATTTGAAGCTGCAGCCTTCAAAGTTGTCGTCAGACCTACCCGAAGCGAAAGTACCGGCAAAACCGTGGCCAAAGCCAGGAAAGTTCAATGTACAGGCCTTGCTTACGCTGCATTACGTTGCCGAGCGAGGATTCTTTCCTGAAGGCAGTGAGTTGCTTGACTCAGCTGCGACCTTTGCTTTTCCGTTGAAGCTTGTCCACGGCCAGAACGATTGTATATGTCCAGCAGTCAATGCAGAGGACCTTGCAAGGGCAGTCGGTCCTAGTGCTGAGTTGTTACTCACAGACGGTGGCCATTCGCAGTGGGATGCAGGGAACATAGATGCGTTTGTTCGTGCCACTGACCAGGTGGCCGCTGAATGCTTGGTTTCGTCGTGAGCTTTCGCCCGTTCGGCCAGAATACATCTCATAACTGGGGCCTTGCAAGTAGAGAAATTGTCCATGCGAAAACAAAGCCAGAAGGGCGACATTGAGCCCCATGCGGGTGATAGGCAGCTTCCTGGCAGCCGTTTTTCCACAGTTGATCTGTGACCATGTGCGTCTGGCTCGAAGCCAAACCGCCAAACCGGACAGTCTCACTACACACAACTTGGCTCGATGCATCGCAAAAAGAGGGACAAACTGCGGCATGTCGATCAGCTGTGTCCGGGACAGCCATCACCGTCTGATAACACTTCCTGGTCTGCAACTCAGGCGCCGCTCGTGAAGAGACTCTGAGCCTTCGTGTCGCTTCATGAAGGCAGCGGTTGACAGCCGCCCGTTAAGTTTTGGTTGGCGCCTACTGTCACCCTGGCCTGAACGATTGTCCTCGGTTCAGGAGTTAGGACGCCAAGCTGTGATGTGGTTTGATGTTTTGGAAGTGTGGCTTCGTTTGGATGGTAAGTTGCACAGCTTCGTGGAGGCCAGGTGATGCCAGGCGCACCATTCTCGAAGCCTTATGGCTTTCTTCGTACCTTTTTGAAGATGCTCCGATCGCTGCAGCGGAAGAGTAGTCGCAAATGAAAGCTGGAGGTTGCGCAAAGCTCAACGCTCTATGCCGCCAGCTTTGTAGACCAGTGTTGTAGTTGAACGCCAGATTCAAAAGAGAAAGCCACCTATTCGGAACAGGCTGTGCCTGATCATGCCCCGTGCCACGGCAGGATACAGGGAGTATCAGAGAACCAGGATGAAGCGGTTGGTGCTCATGGAACCTAGCTCGCCTCAGGGGTCAGCATGAAAGCTGCATTGAACAGGACACAGCAGGACAACAGGAGACTTATTTGGGAAGAACCTGTAGTTAGGTCTGTGCCTGGCGACTGATATCAGCCCTGCGGCCGTGCCGCTTAGACTTCAGGGTTTAAGGTTTACGCTTGTGCAAGGTGGGGCAGAGTTATGCATCATGGCTTAGATGCAGGTGGTGCCTACCCATCGTATCGTCAATTTCCTTATCATTCGGTTTGCGCCGATGGCGCGTGTTCATTTGGCTCCTGTGTGAGCCTTACTGCCAAGTGCAAACGTCAGAGATGACCAGGACCAGCCGACGCGTCATGTGCAGACAGAGGAGCCCCGTGTGCTTGAGTTGGACTGCAGGAGTCGAGCCGTGGAGGCAACGGAAGGACAAACCGAAGGCCTGTGCAGAGGGTTGCTCCTGTATTGCAGCGCACTGCTGCACGCAGTCTTGCCCTGATCCTGTGATGCTCAGGCCACGAGCTCAAGAGCAGGTCCTTGACCCATCTTGACCTGCAGATTTGATGGTCGTGTCGCTCTGGAAATCTGGCGTGTCGTCTGCTTTGCCAGGAAGCGCAGACGCCAAGCCGCCAGACAGTCGCAGGAAGAGGAGACGGAAATCTTCGTTAATGTCGGCATCCAAGTCGCCCACGGAAGGTGGAGCCTCTAGTGACTACTTAATAATTAGTGCTCTCAGGCTCCACGATTGAAGACCCATCCTGACGGAGCATGTGAGCTGAGGCAGATGGTTATACAGGGCATGCAGGCATTTCTGCATCAGAACATGCCCCTGATGATGGAGAGGCGGCCTGCCAAACGTCGGCGCATCCGATCGCAGCTAGTGCTGCCAGACGGATGGGAAGTCTACAAAAAGCAGCCTGGAGCTGAGCGAACAATCATTGGAAGTTGCAGTTGATACTCAGGTCAGGAGCTTGTGTACTTGGCATTGCATGCAGTGGAGACTTGTGTCTGTAAAGCAGCTACAGTAGTCCTTTGGGTGTCGAAGCAGAGAATGCGTTGAAGGATTTTCCGAGTGCGACCTCCCCCCGAAGTATGTCCGGGCCTGAAGCATGCCCTCATCTTTTCTTGGTCCAGCTCAATGGTGGTGCCACAGTGTGAGTCTCTTGTTTTTGTATCTTTTGTTCCCCGTTTGAGATTCTCGCCGGGTGCTGTGCCGGCAGCAACAATTGGCAACCTCTCCGTCAACCTGTATCATGCATTTGTGAGTCTTTCTATTGCGCAGTAGCTGTCTTTGTTTTTGCCAAAGCAGTCACAGAACCGATCTGCTTCGTCTCTGTCGTCTTGGGCTCAGAAAGATGCAGGTAGAAGTTGCAATGATGCCTAGAGCTGGAGCGAAGCTCACAGCGCACACTTATGTCACGAAGGTTGGAGCCTTTCAAGTCTCTCGGCGACCATTGGCTTGCGAGAGTTTCTCCACGGAGTCACTCGACATACCATGTGCAGCGAAGGCAGGCAGAGATCGACCGCGGGCTTTGTGACAAAGAGTTTCGGCGCAAGCCTCATGTAAAGAGCGGAGTTTGGAGGGTCTGCCATAGTTGTCACTCTGACCATATCAATACCAGTGGCATAGTCAACTCTCGACCATACTTCTGACCTTCAATAGGTCCTGGGTGAAGAACTTCATGGCCCCTGAGCTGCAGAATGTGCGTTCGGGAGGGGGTTTTGCACAACGTTTTACTGACGTAGACTGGTGCGCCTTGCATCCAAACCTGCCGAAAGTTGGATTTGCAGTTTGTTTGCAGAGTACAATCACAAGGAGCCGCGTGTGGCTGGAGCCTAAGCCATGTGTTACAACCGGCGCATCCTGAGCAGTCCGTGTGTTAACATGTCTTCTCGTGTGAACTCGCGACCATAAAAGGTCTACCAAACTGGTGATACAAGCAGCTTCTATCGAACCCCCGTGGCTGGCGAGCCTGTGACCATCACTGGTCTGCGGCGTCGCATGGAGCTGAACGGGGCATGTGGCTTAGTTTTGACGAGTTTCTAGCGCATCGGCTGCAGCTCTGAGTCGAAGCAATGCAACACTGTTGGTGGCTCAGGTTCGTGCAGAGATCTTGAGCAACCAGCAGGAAGGTTGCAAACAGAAGTCGTGCAATATCTTGCAATGGGTGGCTCTGCGTGCTGCTCACTCGCATGGCTTCAGTGCCTGTTTCACAGGATGAGTTCGGGCGCTTGCACGCTCGCCTCCACACAGCTGACCAGCGGATCATGAAGATCCAGCCTTGCAGGCATGGCGGAGATCTGCAACACGGTGCGGGAAATGCAAGGCACAAGGGGAGATCGGGCCATGTCGGGCCACACACGCCAGGCTCATGCCGGACTGGCCGCCAACGCAGGCTCGGTGGCTTGGCTGCCAACGATGGCTGCGCGCCGGTGTGCAGTAGCAACAAATAGCAAGAATAGCCGTGAATCCTTGTCAATAAGGCATGATGGTGGCGCTCCACCATCGGTCTCCGACTGAGCTTGCCAGGCCTCGGCGCACGGAACTGGTGGGCTACTGACATTCCCAGGAAAGCAGACGGATGTCGACTCCACTAGCTAGTCGCTCCGGTGTCTCCCACTCTAGAAGTTTCTGAGCTGCAGCAACATGTCTGCAAAGGTTGGTACAGAGAGCTTCGTTTCGGCACCCGCCCTGAGGCTTGCCATTGCTTTGATGGCAGCCTGATCTGAAAATGATGCCAGCGGACTTGGTTTGAGCAGCTGGAACTTTAGCTTTGTCAATGAATGCAGCCTGGTGCTGCGGCCTAGCACTCATGCTGAGCGGCAGCATGCGAAGCATGCTGCAACTCGGACCTGAGCCCATGCTTCGAAAATCATGACTCAACAGTCTTTTCGTATGGTGGTCAAGCCCAGAGGCCGGCACTGGCTTACATTGCATCGGGATTTGCAGCACCGCAACGTATGTTAAGGTCGGGACACTTTCGCCAAAGCTCCTGCTGCTCGGGCGCAGAACGCAATGGGCCCATGTTGAAGCCAGTGTTACGACGAGCACGTAGCGCGGCTTCACGCGCGACTTGGCAAGTAACATCTTGCAGGTTTCCTCGCTTACCGGTGTGTCCGGAGGCTTGCCCCTGAGTGCTGCCAGAGCCGCCGTGACCAATCGATGCACTTGTCCAGAGGTGGAATTTTAGCTTCATCGGCTAGTTCCACCGGCTCGGCTGGCGTTTCTTCATCCGCACTGGCGGCACCTGGCAGTAGCATCTTCACGGGGGGCGGTGGCAGCAGTGGTGGGATCTTCTCGCTTTCTCCCTCGAGCGGCGCGGCGACTGGTGCCACGAGCGCTGCATCGAGTGGTAGCATCTTTGGGACCGCAGCCGGCAGCACCTTCGGTTCCGCCGGCAGCATCTTCGGACAGGCCCCAGGGTTTTCTTCGACGTGTCCTGATGCGTCTGCCGCACAGCACAGGGAGCTGGAGCTGGAGCCGGACCTGCGGGCGCTGCTTTTGGGGCTGCTGCAAGCGCCCAGAGCGGGTCCGCTTCAGAGAACGTAGACACTTTGACTTTCCCCTGTCGCACCGTGTCAGAGGCCGAGCATGTTTGCTCAAGCCTTCCAGCAGTCGAGACCAGGCCACACCTGCTGCAGCTTACTCACAGCTTTCCATAATCCCCCAAGACAGGTCCCGGTGCCGCGCGGCGCCGGCGGCGTTGAGGCATCGGACACCGAAAGCACATGGGGAAAACGGCCGTGTGCCTGCAGCACAACGTGCCTGCAGTGGCCCTCTGCCGCTGCAGTGCCGGCCATGACAAAACTTGGTGCACTCGACCGAGCAGCTGTTGGCATTGATGCTTAATAGTTCTAGACTGGATCAGCATGGAAGGTGTAGAGCGCAAGGCATTGCATTCCCTTGAGAAGTTTGTGCATTAGGTAGATTAGGTCCCCCCACAAGGCACGCTATCCCTCTTGCTTGACATGCCCTCTACGGTTCGGCTTTCTAGTGGACCAAGTGGAGTGCCTACTAGCTTGCCGCCATCAGAAAGCGCGAGTTTCAAAGTCCTCTGGAGGTTGACCAGATTACAGAGTCTACTGTAGTGGGGGATCAGGCCGGCTTGCCCTGTTCCAGCCCTGCAGAGTCAGCTTCTGGGCGACACAAACTAGCAGCGCATGCCGACACCTTAGCGAGTGCTTTTGCAAGCGTCGCATGCAACAGAGCTGTCTGGTCCAAGCAGCCGACATGTCCACGAAGGTACAGCGATGATGAAGATGCCTTCGGTGTAGGAGGTGCAAACGTTGCTAACTGTACGAAAAGTGCTGTCTTTGTGTAGAGCATTCTTTGTTTTCCGAATTGAAGGTCGCAGCCCTTCTCCCGGGGATGGGCGCAGCGAGCTTCTGTGATGCACATCCGTTCAAATTTCAATGTCAACCGTTTTCTGGCAACGGCTCGTGTGGGCTTGCAAGCGGAGGCGACGTCGGGATGACGACAGAGGCCCGGCCTTGTCCGGCTGCGCGGCGATTGGCTCGGTTGCCAGAGTCGAGAGACTTTGAAGTCTGCAGGTCCGAAGGGTGGCTCGAAGGGCGGAGATAAAGGTCGTCAAGACCGGAGGACGGGATGATGGTTGTTCTGGGTCTTGAGTAGTTCTGCCATACAAGTAGCATGACCCCAGTGACTGTCCCGCTACCTGACTACCTCGCCCAAGAAGGTTGGGCAGAAACTGACACCACATTCAACACACCGGCCAGGGCGTGCGCCGAGCGTAGGAACCCGGCCTGCTGCAGGAAGCAGATGTTTGCAGAAAACAGCAACTATTCGGAGATTGCTTGCATAAATCTATAATCTATAACTCTGCGTCTCTTACCAAGAAAGCACATGCGGTGAAATTGTCTTGCCTTTGGCTCCAAACCGGGGACGTGGGAGATATCACTGTAGCCATGCATTGTTTCTGGCAGTTTCTGACTACCTGCATGCCTAGGTCGGTGGGTAGGTAGGTGGATAGGTAAGTGGCCTCGTATCTATTGAGTTATGTATACATGCATGAATCAATGTATGTTGGTCGATATGTAGGTATAGGTAAGTGTGTATGTATTTGACACACATGCATGCATGCATGCATACATACATGCACCGACACACACACACACACCCCACCATTCGCCACCTATGATGTCTAGGTGAATTTTGGTGATCGAATCCCCCCCATCCTCATGCATGCCAGGCGCACGACTGGTCGAGAAATTCCGAAGCTTTACTCCATTCACAAGGGCACCGTGGCTCGAGTGCCCGGCCCTGGAGAAAGCACACCTCTACATTGCTGTACCTGGCATGCTCGGGTTCAGGTGCAAGACTACGGTGCCTTTGTGCGGCTCGGAGATGGCTCGCGGTACAAGGCACCGAAAGTGCTTGCCATTCTCCAGTGTGTCAAGCCATCTTGCGCTTGTGGCAGCGAATTTCGGCTTAGCGTACAGGAAACTAGAATCTGAGCTGACAGATCTGACAGCCATGGCCCTCAATCCGTGCTTGGCCAAAGCATGCCTGAATGTTTCTTATGTGCGTCCCAGCCGACTCAGAGACGGAAGCAGTCCCTTGGACCTACTTGATGATGAGACAGTGCTCCAAGGCCTCAGCGAGGTCTTCCTGCTTGTGCCAAGGTACATCGAGAACAGCCCTCGCTGGCTCCAAAGCTTTCCATCAAGGCGCCACATCCCAGCAATGCGCATAGCTCGCTTTAAATAATCGGCCGACTGTCATGCCGGCTCAGTTTGCTCTGTAGCTCTAGCCAGGCATCCAAGCATCGTGACTTGCAAGCAGACAGCTGCGCATGGTTCTCACGGGCTGATGCGCAGCACGCATGCGAGTATCGCACGTAACAAGAGCAAGTGTGTTGCGGTGTGGAGATGCTGATGGTCATGGAAGCCCAGGCTGTTAGCTGCGACCTGTGCTTACATCGCCAAGAAAAACGGCATCCGGACCGTGATGTTTGCTCAAGGAGCGGACTTTATCAGACATGCAATCTTTGTGGTCTCACTGGTGAGCTTGTGCAACTAGTGACTGCTAGTGTCGTTGTCATAAGTCTTGGCGCGACGGTTGGCCACGAGGCCGCTCTGGAGCCGCACGAGGTGATGGAGGCAAGCAGCTCAGCGACCCCACGCCGGGGGGGGAGTAGCTGCAATACGACCGAGGTCATGACCGGGGCTCCTTTCAGCTTGGCCCCTTGGAGGGTGGACTCTCTGCGCTGAAGGCTTTCACCAACAGGCTTGCCAATCTCACAAACAAGCGCGGAAAGTTGGTGGATGAGCTTGAGCTGGCGCAGAAGAAGCTTGCTTTGAGCCATGCTTCCGCGGAAGAGATCCGGCGAACGCTTGAAGAAGAAGTGGAGAACGAGCGGCAAGCAAAGCTGCTCATAAGCAGGCAGTTCCTTCAGGCAACATCCAGCTATGAGAAGCTGAGCGATCTTTTGGAGTTTGAACAGATGAAGTCGTCGGAACAGTACAAGGACTTGCAGGCAAGGCTGGAGAAAGCCATTATAGAACACGGGAAGTCCCAATGTGCTGCCGACGAGTTCCAGAAGAAGATCGTGAAGCTAGACAAGCAGTGTCAGCAGCTGCAGCAAGAGAACGAGCAGTTGAAGCTCCAACTCCTGAAGGCAGGTAATGTCAATAATGCCTTGAAGAAACAAATCGCGAAGCAGGACGCCTTGATTGAAGAGCTGATGAGTCTTCAACACGCATCACAGGAAGAGAGCCTTCAACTTCGGAAGGAGAACCTCACGTTGAAGAAGCGGCTTGAAGTGGCCGAGAGGTCGCTGGCGCTTCTGCTGGACCCAGCCGATGATTACACCTCGACCCTTTAGGTGATCATCATGGCTGCCTCGGCTGTCCGGGATGGACCTGGGCTAGACATGGGGGCCAGGTACAGAGTCAGCAGCTGCCATCAAGATGCATGCCACGGGCCCTGCCCGTTGTCTTCCACTCTCAGTCGCCGCATATCATGGCCTGAGAAAGCTAATTAGAAGAGCATGTGGTGAATGAGCCACACAAAGCAGTACCAACGCAGTACCCCAATAAGGCGCTACTAATCTTACTAATCCTTGCTCCGCTTGTACAGCAGTTCGCGGAATATGTTGAAGGAGTTGAAGTGTCCAGAGTGTGGCGCATTCTGTCTTACCGGGCGTTCCAGAATTTCAAGCCGGTGCCCAGAACTTTAGTAAACCTTGCTACCTTGGCCTTGAGGCTTGGAGGAGCGGAGTTTTGAATGCACAGCTCGTCACAGAAGTTGCTGATCTGATCCTAGACCATTCCCTCTGATCCGTTCCGCAAGAGCTGGAAAGAGATGCTGTTTGCGCGTCCCTCGCACCGTGCCGTGCCCCCCCAACCCTCCTCGGCCCTGGCCCCTCCTGTCAAAGCCACAGCGCTACAGGATGGCCTGCTACATATTTCGCGGCTCTCGGCTTCTGGCCGAGTCGAAGCAGTGGCAGCGACAGCCTTGAATTCTTCATGCACCCTTCGAATTCTATTAAAGTGCCACAGATCAGGATGTGTTGGCACAGGATGACGCAGTTTGGGTGAAGGCCGACGCGCTCAGATTTCGCCGAGCCTCGTAGCAGCTGTAAGCTCGAAGTGTTGTCTATCTGTAGGTTGTGGAAGTGAGGGAGGAGGAGGGAAAGTTCAGTCGCGGCCTCAAGCGCTGTGTCCGCGGACATGCACGGACATGAGCAGGCACAAGTGCTTCCCACAGGTCTCGACATGCGCTTTGTTGGCCAGAGAGATGGTGAAGACCAGGATCCTAACAACGTGCAGGCGCCTAGATCCGCAGCGCCAGCCTTGGAGCATCGCAGCGCCTGCCAGGCGGATGCTGGAAAAGGCAAGGGCCAGGGCAAATCTGCTCCGGAGCCGATTCGCATCGGTGCGATCCAGGCCAGGCGCTGGCTTGGTCTCAAGTGACGCAGAAAGTTGAGCTCACTTCTGAAGGCCACAACATGCTCGCGCTGTGGTGTCGGGTTCTCACGATTCCACTTCTGAGATTGCTAAGCTGCTAATCTGAGATAAGATTCCCGAGCCATTCCGAGGCACGTGGGCATTCGGCCAGAGAGCCCGGGCCTCGGATGCAAGCAGAAGGTCGAAGACAGGAAGCAAGAAGCCGAGGGTAGCCGAGGTGCTGGGCTGGAGGAGGCAAGCAGTACGACTTGGTCGAGGACCTGGCCCCCTGATGCAGTTCTGAGCCCCGAATTCTGGATTAAAGTGAGCTGGATCGATACCAACTCGATACCTCTGAAAGGAGGGACCGGAGGCGTCCGGAAAGGTGGGGCAGACTGTTCAATGCAGTTTCACGCGGGTCGATGTCGTTTGCCGTGCACCGAGCTTTCAGTGCACCCGTGGCTTATGTCTGGTCGTTCAGGCGGGCGGCAGAGGATTGGAAGATGCTGCTGGTGGACAGCCACATGCAGATTTCGTTAGTTCGGCGGCATGCAAGCTCTCACAGTTAGTCGCGAATTCAATTTGCTGTGCTGTGTTTGTCTTTTCTGATGCGAGTGGTGATCAGGACATGATGCCGCAACCGTGAAAAAGGCCCTCCAAGAATACTTCAAGAGGATCGCCTCGGCGTCTACAGAGCATCCATGAGCAGCGTGTCATTCAAGCAGCACAAGAATGTAAACACGAAGCAGGAAAGCTGCGGGGGAAGACTCCTCGTCCAGTTCCTCGTCTAGCGACAAGAAGAAAAAGAAGAAGAAGAAAAAGGAGAAGAAGAAAGAGAAGAAAGCAAGCACCTCGAATTCTGGTCAATGCTGGCTCAGATTCGGGTTGCATGTGTCGCAAGGAAAAGAAGAAGAGAAAGAAGGAGAAAAAGAAAGACAAGTCTGCTGCGAAGGAGGCCATGTGGGGCCTAGTGTTTGAGCAAGTGTGAGTAACTTCCTGAGGTTGGTGCAGACATGCTGATGTTGCTAGACATCGTGATGTCAATTGCTTGTTTCGTGCACTTCAAGAGCTTCAAAGCGGTTACTGGCGCTTCGGACTCCGCGTTGGCCTTTTGCCTTGGGGCAAACTGCGAGCTGTTAGAAGATGTTATGTTTGTTTGAAACAGTGTGGCTCGAGCGAAACACGGGCCTGCCCAAGGAGCCGAGATCGGGATAATTGCCCTGCAGGTTTCTCTCGTCCCAAGGATAAAGGGGTGGAAGGGGTTGCAGTGGGGTGGTTACTGGGCATACCTTCAGGGGTGGTGACGCGCGAGACCATCAATACTGTCTGAATACGTACAAAGCCCGAAGCCTCTCGGCAAAGACATCATCTTCTCACTGGCAGTAGCTACAAACACCTGCCCATGTGAGTACTGACGATGGTGGTGCCCATCTGTAGAAGCCTGAAGCGGCCCAAAGACACAAGGCGCACCAGAAAGATCGCTGTGTTGCGGAATAAAATCCCTCCGTGCCAGGCATGACATGCTACGCTGAGAGGTTGCCAAAGTTGCATGCCTCAGTGGAAGTCAGGTCGGCCCGTGCAGAAAGATAGGTCGCACTGCAGGCACCAGGCTAGAGTAAAGGCTGCCAGGATGAGTTCTTCCCGTGCGCCTTCCAGACTGCTGTCTCGCCACATCTCCGAGTCCAATGCATTCCTCTCGCCTTTGGCTGCAGCCCAACATTCTTCAACCGTAAAGCTTCAATTCCTAAGCCTCAGCTCCCAAGACCTGTAGCATCCTGTAGCACTGCATGCTTAGCCGTGCGCATGGCCACGAACCCGAACACCCAAAGGTCCGAGCAAAGACGGCGGGGATGGCATCTGTGCTCTAATGTATCATCTAGAAGGGCCCACACATGCCCACACGCACCCTTCAATGGCAGCTAAGTCTTTCTTCTCCAGGGCAAGCGAGAGTTTGCAGGCTGTGTCATCGCTGCGTGTTTTGGCTCAGCGTCGTCATGCTGTAGCTAGGGCGCGCAGCCCTGTACAGCTGTGTTAGGCAGCACAGCGGGCAGACATGATTATTCCGATTCGTCATGCCCCCGGTGTTTGCGAGCCAACAGTTGCATGTGCTCTTCGTGTCTTTGATGTTGTCGTGTTTTTAGACTTTTTGCGCGCTGTGCGGCGACTTCGCTTGTGCGAGACGCGCAAAAGGCTCGCTTAGCCATCTGTGGAAACGCTTTGTGTGTCTCAGCTAAGCGGAGGCGCAGAGGTGGAAGCGAAAAACGCGAAGCACGCGAAAAACCCGAAAGCCGCGAAATACGCGAAAAATCAGCACAGTAGCAGTATAGGTTCTTGTAATCGTAGTAGTACTGGTAATCGAAATAGTTAATAGTAATTGTAAGAATAATGGCAAACAGTACCAATAATTGTAATTGTACTAGTAAAAGCAATAGTAAAAGCAATAGTAATAGCAAGAGCAATAGTAATAATAAGAATGCATTAACAATACTGGTACTAGTAATCATAATAGTAACAGCAATAGTAATAGTAATAAGAATAGTTATAATAATCGTAATAATGATACTGATAACAATAGTAGTATTAATACTAGTAACAGTAGTCATGGCAGTAATAACAACAAACATAATAGCAACAGTAATCGTAGCAATAACAATGGTAGCAAGAGCAATATCAATAGTAATAGTACTCGTAAAAGTGATAGCATTCGTACTGGACAGAACCAACAATAGCAAAAGTAACACACTAGTTATTTTTCTTGTAGTAGTAACAATCATGCAGTCAGGGTAACAGTAATAGAAATATTGCTAGTAATAGGAATAGTACTTGCAAGAGTAACAGCAATAGTAATAATAGTAGTAATAGCAACAGTAACAGTAGCAATACCAGTATTAATCAATAGTAACAGTAATAGTACGTTTAGCAAGAGCAGTAATAGTTTTCAATTGTAGTAGTAATACGATTAGTAGTAGTAGCAGTACTAGTATAGTTCGGTAATAAAGATAATAGTAATAATGATAGTAGCAATGGTAATAGTAATTTTAGTAATAGTAGTAGTAGTAG